TGGTCCTTTTCCACCCGGGCCTCTCCCACCCGGGCCTCCTCCAGCCGGTATTCTCCCACCCGGGCCTCTCCCACCCGGTCCTCTCCCACATGGTCCTCTCCCACCTGGTCCTTTCCCACCCGGCCCTCTCCCACGTGGTCCTCTCCCACGTGGTCCTCTCCCACCCAGCCCTCTCCCACCCGGTCCTCTCCCACCTGGTCCTCTCCCACCCGGCCCTCTCCCACCCGGTCCTCTCCCACGTGGTCCTCTCCCACCCCCGGTCCTCACCCACCTGGTCCTCTCCCACCCGGCCCTCTCCCACCCGGCCCTCTCCCACGTGGTCCTCTCCCACCCAGCCCTCTCCCACCCGGTCCTCTCCCACCTGGTCCTCTCCCACCTGGTCCTCTCCCACGTGGTCCTCTCCCACCCGGTCCTCTCCCACGAGGTCCTCTCCCACGTGGTCCTCTCCCGCCCAGGCCTCTCCCACCCGGGCCTCTCCCACATGGTCCTCTCCCACCCGGTCCTCTCCCACCCGGCCCTCTCCCACGTGGTCCTCTCCCACGTGGTCCTCTCCCACCCGGCCCTCTCCCACCCGGCCCTCTCCCACCCGGGCCTCTCCCACCCGGGCCTCCTCCAGCCGGTATTCTCCCACCCGGGCCTCTCTCACCCGGTCCTCTCCCACCTGGGCATCTCCCACCTGGTCCTCTCCCACATGGTCCTCTCCCACCTGGTCCTTTCCCACCCGGCCCTCTCCCACCCGGCCCTCTCCCACCCGGCCCTCTCCCACCCGGCCCTCTCTCACGTGGTCCTCTCCCACCCGGCCCTCTCCCACCCGGCCCTCTCCCACCCGGCCCTCTCCCACCCGGCCCTCTCCCACCCGGTCCTCTCCCACATGGTCCTCTCCCACCCGGCCCTCTCCCACCCGGTCCTCTCCCACGTGGTCCTCTCCCGCCCGGGCCTCTCCCACTCGGTTCTCTCCCACGTGGTCCTCTCCCACCGGGTCCTCTTCCACGTGGTCCTCTCCCACCCGGTCCTCTCCCACCAGGTCCTCTTCCACGTGGTCCCCTCCCACCCAGTCCTCTCCCACCCGGTCCTCTCCCACGTGGTCCTCTCCCACCCGGTCCTCTCCCACGTGGTCCTCTCCCACCGGGTCCTCTCCCACCCGGTCCTCTCCCACCCGGCCCTCTCCCACCCAGTCCTCTCCTACCCGAGCCTCTCTCACCAGGGCCTCTGAAGACCTGGTGACCTTTCCTTGTCCTTCCCTCCCCACAGACGCAGGGTTCCTAGACGACCCACTCCACGCCAGCACCGCCCTGGGCCCCGGCTACGACCGCCCCTTCCAGTTCGACGCCAGCGTGCGGGAGCCCAAGACCATCCGGCTGTACAAGCACCTGAACCTCAAGAGCTGCGTGTGGACCTTCGACGCCTACTACGACATGACGGAGCTGATCGACGTCTGTGGGGGCTCCGTGACCGCCGACTTCCAGGTGGGCGCCGCGGGCATCACAGCAACCTCCAGCTCCTGGGCTCAAGTGATCCTCCTGCCTCGGCCTCCCGAGTAGCTGGGACTACAGGCACG